CCCCGCCATCCCACTCACACTGTCTGGCATCCATTTCTTTCTATTTCTTAAAGTCTTTGAGACTGAGGGCATAAATGCTCAAACCGGCAGCCCTCTGGTGTCGGGCCCCACCTTCATCAAGCCAGACTCGCTATCTGGGGTGGGTGAGGCCATCAGTGGCCACAGTGGGCCTACTATGGAGACCATTCATCAGTCTGTAGATCCAGGCGGGGCACCTGACCCTCATCACCGACAGCCTCCTGTTCATTCACAACGAGCTCCTTCTGGCAGGGGACGTCGCCAGGAGGAACCACACCAGGCAGCGTATTACACATCGGCAGCACTGACGGGTATCTGAGGGCAGTGGGGCACAGGGCGCAGCGGGGAAAAGAGGGGTTCAAGGGTGAAGACAGGAGGGCGGGCGGTTCCGCTGCGAGCTGCCATTTACAAACCAGGCCCGCCTCCCGGTTTGTAGCGCCATCTTCATCTAAATCGCCTGCTTTCCTCTCCCCAGCACTTTGCAAGTACCAAAGAAGAAAAGAGAACACCTTATCTGGGTAGAAGCGTGGGTCCCTGCCTTGGCCCTACAGCTCTTCTGGGGAAGGAGACTCACCGCTGAGCTGCTGGGCGGCAGCCAGGCGGCTGGGCTTCAGGATGAACTGGCACTGCATCGCTGGGGGCAGCTGCTCCATCAGGAAGGGCTCCTGGAGATTGGAGGGGGCGGTGGAGTCCTTTGATCCTGGGGTCAGCAGCACTGTGTCTCGGAGATGGCTCATTTTAATTCCGTAGGGATATTCGTGTCCTGCACAGAGGAAAACCTCAATGTAGGCCTCAGGCTGCCGTGTGTGGTCGGGCCCACTTTAGTGCGCGCGTGGGCGCAGTGTGCACCTGGGCATTTTGGTGAAAAAGAATCCTTACGTGTGTTAAAAAAACCAAACACTCAACAAACCAATCTCACAGCCACATTCGACATCAACTCCACAGCAGCTCTCTGGGACAGGGCAGAACAGCTCCTTTGGCTTTCCCAGGCTTTAAATTCTTATGGGAATAGGCAGCCTCATCTTCCTCCTGGAGAGCAGCTGGTAGGGCTGAACTGCTGACCTTGTGGTTAGAAACTCAATGCACAGCCAGGTACATGTTTACAATTGGGAGACCACTGCACACTGCAGGTGGCGCTCCCCCCCGCCCCAAAAGAAGCTTCAAGGGGAAAAGAAACAGAGAAAAGGAAATCTGTGAAAAACACAGACTGGTGGGTCAGCGGCATAATGCTGACTTTTCCTGTGTTTGTACCTAGTAATACTTAGAGATATCCTAGGTTCTCCTTAACGGCATCGATGAGTCCACAGCAAACCACTGGCTTTCTCAGCCTTAATTCCATGATTTAAAATAGTTAGCCTAACTCTCATACAGGGTTGTAAGGCTGGCAGAAGTCAACCTTGGTGGTTGGTGTTATTTAAGTAGGATATATTTAAGTAAGAGGGTCAGAGAACTATGTAGGTGACGCATTGCTATGATTACTACTACTACCTCACCTAAGAAGCCTGTCTGAAAAAAGAGGTTTCACGATTTCTTATAAGTTATGGCATTGAGAGTCCCTCAAGAACACGGGGGTTGGTTTGTTTGATTTTACACTTTGTCCCCACTGCTGACTCGAAGGCTGCGCTCCTGGGCAGGAATCCAGAGGAAGACTGCAGGGTGTTAGAACACAGACAGGAGACACGCAAAGGTAGTTCCCAGCCAGGAAAGCGAAATATTGGACCTTGATGTTGGCTGCAATAGCATTATGATTATTCTTTGCTCTTTGGTGGTCAAAGTAATTGAATCTTCTTAATATATCCTTCAAAAACCACTGTGGTCTAGGCTGAATATTTTAGTACAAAGAATCAGTTCGTTGGTTTCTATTCCTGTTTTATCATTGGATGTGACTCTGGAATTCTCTTTCCCTTTTTACCTGGCACGGGCATCCCATGTTAATGGTCTGTTAATATCAAGGACTACAGTAACTTCTAGGTGTAGGATAAAAAGAAAAAGAAAAAGCCTTCTCTATGAGCAATAAAGTAAAATAAACTTATCAGAATAGCCAGCAGCTAATCTATTAGCTAGAGGGAAATGCACTGAGCTGCTAGCCACAAGGTCTGTAGTTCAAACCCACCAGCTGCTCCATGGGATACAGATGAGGCCATCTACTCAGATTTAAGATGTAAAGTTTTTGAAATCCAAAGGTGCAGTTCTCCTTGTCCGGTGGGGTCACAAGGAGTCAGACTCGGGTCGATGGCAGGGAGTTTGGAGTTTTAGAATCAAATAGAAGTGAGGCCCCACAACTGTACACGTCCAGCGACAAACTGCTGCTAACTAACTACCATGCGAGACCATGGATATGTAGTGAAAACTAGCACTGGGGCTTAACTAAAGCTTTTGTCAGCATAAACATTACTGACAAGCTAGCTGTAATTAAACGAGTATATTTCATCAGGCCAATCGTTACTAACCTATAAGAAAATGACATTTAAAAAACACCTGAAACGGCAAATTTGGTCCTCAGCGATGTACACGCTGACCTGCTGTCTCGATGGCTGAGGACAGAGACTCTGTAGAAAAGCTTGTTTAGATTACTTAGATCTCTGGAAACAAACTGAATATGCAGCGTTGACCTCACAGTGAAGGGAGTGGAGTACATGAGATTATGCATGTACATGCATTCTTACATTTTGCCCAGTGTCTGCAGAGCAGGCTTAGGAAGCACTTTAAAGTGGTAAATCACCACCACCACCATTGTCATCATCTCAACATTGGTACAGAGACCACCCTTTACTTTAATTGCTGTTATAACTACAGTGAATGCATTGACTGATCAAGAAACATTTTTCCATTAAATGATTCTAATAACTACCTTCAGGGGAGGTGTAACCTGTTGCCCAATTAATTCCACAGGGCATATGTTGGAAATTTTGGCTGGAGAAAAGGCAAAATAAGTTAAATTCATGAAGTAGTAGATGGTTGGCAAGTTAATCAGTTTAGGAACCTAAAGTGGTTCATTCCATTTTCTTTCTGCTGCTTAGGGCAGTTCTGGACACCATCTCACAGCCCTCAGGTCAAGGCTGACTCACAGTGACTCTGCAGGACAGGGTGGAACTGCCCCGAGTTTCCGAACAGCTGGTAGGCTGGAACTGCCCACTTTGTGGTTTGCAGCCGAATGCATAGCCCACTAGATTACCAAGCGTCCCTTCTGGACACAAGGCAGGTGTGAAGTAAATACTCCCTGATGAATTAAAAGGCATGACTGGATTAGAGATGGTCTTCCTAAGAGACAACACAGTAGATAGGAAAAAGAAGCAGGTAATCTAAGAATGGAATATGAAAAAATACATGTATGGAGAAAAAGGAATGCTACACTGCTTTCATAAAGAAAAAGAAAAAAGTTTGGCAAGACGGCTCTGTAAAATGCTTGCGTGAAGAAATATTTATCTTACACATAAGTGCTGGATAGGTATTTATTAAATAAGTAAAACGAGACATTTATGAGATTTACTTTAGTAGTACTACTTAAGTTTAGAAATATATGGCTCATGGTCTAAGATACTTAGAGCACAATGAAGACAAGTCAGTTCTTTGATTTTCCCAGAAACTTACCAATGAGTGGGTATGGTGCCTCTTCTTTGCCAGAATTGACCCATAATTGGTAATCTCTCTCAGAGCCCTTGGATATAAAGAATTAAAAGTCACCATAAATCTTTCATATTCAGTATTTCTTTTTTTTTTTTTTAACATTTTATTAGGGGTTCATACAACTGTTATCCCAATCCATACACACATCAATTGTGTAAAGCGCATTTGCATATTCAGTATTTCAATGGAGAACTTTTTTGTTTTTTTGCGGGTGGCGGCGGGGGGTGGGGAGGAGCGGCATCTCTACACTTTGCACAAAGAGACACAATGGGGACAATGTAAAGGCTCTTCAGTTTGGGGCCGATTATGATTTTTGAAGATGGCAGTGCTGATTCCTACAACTTTCCCTACTCTCAGTAGCACATTCAGGAATCCTGCTCATTTCCCCTCTAGCCACTGACTGCAACCCAATCGGACCCTATACCCCACAGAATATGAAACCACATCTCTATATATATATATAGTCCCTTCCACTAGGGAAGGGGAAATCCTCTGGTTTTCTAAGAGGTATATCTCTTCCGTAACATCTTGGCTTCTGCTGTGTCTCCAGACTTCTCTCAGAATGTTGGACGTACCCTAAAGCATGTCCCTGCATGAACAATCTTTTCTGCCAGAATGCTAGACGCTGCCATGGCTGTGGCTGAAGAGAGAGAAAAAAAGCTAATTAATAGCTCAGCTGCTTCCTAGCTGAAGGAGAATGACCACGAGGCTTTGAAGAAGTAGGAAGAGGAGATAGGTAGCTGGCACAGTTCACATTGGTTTTCGTTATAGGCAAGTCTGGTCCTGGAGACAAAGACAAGAACTCGGCCCAGAGAATAAATCCAGCCACGGAACACGGTGAACTTGTTTCCCAACAGAACTGTAATCCAGCAGCACTGGAAATCCCACTTGACACCAATACAGGCAGATCCCAGATTAAGGAAGGGCTTCATTCCTAAATCTGTCTGTAAAGTTAAATATATATGTAAATCGAAACAGTGTGTAAGGTACAGTTCTTATCTAATGCCAGTCAAATGTTTGCCTCGGTGTATAGTGAACCTTTCAATGCACAAAAAATTAAAGAAACACTTCTAGGTCAACTAAAACATCTTTAGCATAATCATACAGCCATAATCATAACATCCATGTTTTAATGTTTTGATGCATGTTGCAAAATAGTAGTTGCTGTTAGGTGCCGTCCAATCAGCAACCCAATGTGCCACAGAACAAAACACAGCGCTGTCCTGCGCCACCCTCACAATTGTTCCTATGTCTGAGCCACTGTTGCAGCCTGCAAAGTAGTCCCCGCTTGTTGTTTGAAACCGTTGTATGTTGCGGTCTAGACAGCTAGGAATCAGGGGCTTGCAGCGGGGTAGGCGGTGGATCCACCTTTTGCTCAAACCCGTTCATGCTGCATGCTTTCCTCCTGCCATCCCTGAGACCCTGGTGCCCAGCTCGGGCTATGCAGTGTGGGGTTCTCGATGTAGCTGAGGTAAGGCTGAGCTGGGGCTGGGGCTGACCGGCTCTGACAGTGTTAAAGTGAGGAGCCCAGCCTGGAGCACCAACAGCCTGAGACAGAGCCCACACTGGCTCTGGGGCTGGGGTGAAGGCACTGCACTGTTACCAGCACAGGAGTGCTGCTACTGCCTCCTAAACTCAGTTCCTGACAGATGCCTGGGTGCCGGAATGCCCACCAAGTGCTGCCAGGTGAGTGTGGGGGTGAGGCAGAACTTTCCTTAGCCCCTTCCCCTGGGCTTGTGCCCAGAGACTCATGGATTACAGGTAAACAAGATATGCATCATCCAGGGACCTCTCGTACTGCTAAATTGTTAAGAGTCCTTTAGCATAAGGCAGAGCAGAGGTATCTTGTGTATAAAGTTAGAACAGATAGGGCCAGCTTTTGTGCAATCTCATATACTGGCCATCAACTTCTGATTGAGAACCACAGTCCTGTCTATATAATGAGGGCCCGTGGACAGGCAACCCCACCAATCACTCTGTTTATTACTTCCTCCTTCCCTGTCTCTTAGCCAAAACATTTATAGCAAATAGCAAAAACAACTAAAACAAAATCCTTTCTTTTTATGTGTTGGCTAAAAACGCTGTAGAAGCAGCCCCTGAGATGAGGGATAACCTTCCTTTCCTAAATAAACTGAACAGAAATTACTTTTTGATCTTATTCAGAGAAAGCATAAATAAAATGGTATCATATCACTCATCCTTATATATCATTATCATATCATTAATCTCCCATCCCACCCTTAAAAGTACTGTCTTTCAAGATATAATAGAAACCAATACAGAGTTTTACCTGGGGCATACATACAACACATTTATTTACATTTGAGTTTAACTAATAAAGAAATCATATTCCTTATGCCAAATTTTGGTTGCCTTGAGTTCCTAAGGGCTTCTTATAGCATTATGAACATGTAAAATCTGAAAACACTTAATAACACTATGATGTGTCTCCTATGGGAGAAAGATGCCACTTTCTACTCCCATAAAGAGTTACCGTCCAGAAAGCCACAGGGGCAGCTCTACCCTGTCCTGCAGGGTCGCTGAGTGGGCACCAGCTTGGTGCCCGTGAGAGCACAGGAACTTACCGTTATCCCCAGCATTGGAAGTGACATGTTGATAACTTCATTCGCTGTATCTGAATTCATTACTGTTATGGTTTTGGACTGAAGAAAAGAAAGGAATGAGAAAATACAGCTGTAAGAAAATACAGAATTTTAAAAACTGGCAGACAAATAATTATTCTCAAATGACCATCCAAAGGCAAAATCTAGATTTCAACTCTTGACGAGTGTAGAACACAAACCTTGATTACAATTTACCATATATACTCGTGTGCAAGCCGAATTTTTCAGCACCTTTTTAATGCAGTTTTTGTGGTAAAATTAGGTGCCTCGGCTGATATTCGGGTCGACTTATACTTGAGCATATATGGTACTTTCCTTCTCTTGCATGTCTCTCAAGCAAACCTTGATGTCTCTCTGTGGGGCTCACAAAATATAAGAGCCTAAGCAGGCAAGAAAGACGAAGTGTATTTCAGGGAGAGTACACACACACACACACACACACACACTCATCAGCAAGGCTGATTCTATATAATTTCCATAACTGTACAGGCGGGTTGACAAAACAGGGAGAGAGCTGCATTTAAAAAAAAATTCTTCCTGTGTGCTGCTTTTATAGTCTGAGATGATTCATTTATTTTTTGCTTGTAATTTACAAAGTTCAGGTAAAATCAGAGTAAGATCTGGTTATCACAGATATCTAAAATTTGGAATGTGAAAAAGAAACAAGCATAGAACACGATGTACTGAGGATTTCCTTTGTGCAGTGCCTTGCACTGGCTACTAATGGTTCCATCACTGGGATCTCTAGAAGCGCGGGGAGTCTAGCAAACAGGATTGAAGATTTCAGCAAGCTACATTTTATTCTCCATCCTGCCAATGGATGGCTACAAGAGCTCTGTGCTAAACTACAGCGTAATTGCTACCTAAAAATAGAAAGGCAATTTGCAATGGATTAGAAAAGGGGTTAACAAGATTTTGAGATATCAGAGAGCTTATTAGATCACAAAATATATCATTTAAATATAACGGCATAGTAGTAAAAAAAGAATTATTTTCTGGGTCCCTAGGGTTTACACGTAATATTATGAGATAAATCAGCCATTCTAACTCTGTTCCTTATAGACTGGGCTTGCTGTTGGGCGCTGTGGAGCCGATTCTGACTCACAGCCACCCGATAGGGCAGAACAGGTCTGTCCTTTAGTGCTTCCAAGGTCGGTGGAGCTGTGGGTTAGGTGTTCAGCTGCGAACCACAGGAGTGGTGGTTCAAACCCCGAGGGAAAAAGTTGAGGCTTCTCTGCTCCTGTAAAGATTACAGTCTTGGAGACACACACTGGAGGGCCAGTGAATGAGAACTGATTCGCTGGCAGCAGTGGGTTTGGGATTTTTCTTTTTAGCCTCACCAAACTCCCACCGCTCTTCCAAGATGAGAGAGGGGCACCAGTGCTTTCTCAAGCATACACTTTATATACCGAAAATAAGAGTGCTAAGAAAAGACTCAAGAGATTTTCCATGAAAATTCTCAATGCAACCAACGGCCCTAACAAGTGAATCCAAGCAGGCAGGAAACACAGTGCTTTGTGTTTTCTTCTTCTTTTTTCTCTCCCTCTACAGGCTCTATCTGTAATCTCACAGCATAAAAATGTGAGCATTTCCCTCTAACAAGGACAGCTGGCACTTAGGAGCGGGTCAGACCATTGGCATGGCTTTTGCTTTAGGCCAGGCATAGCTGTTGTGCATTACACAGTTTTCCACACACACATTGAACTCTTCTGTGTGAGGCAGTGCTGCCGCAGTACATCAGTCTAGAGCGCCACCAAGAATATCCACGAGCTTCCATCCTCTTGTTCACCGCTGATGGCATCTTGGCTCCTGAGCTACTTTTGCAGTCACCAGATTACTCCTAATCACTGGGGTGGAGGCCTTCATTTCTGTTGGACCCATATGATAAACACTGCGTGGTTGAAGCAAGTTGGCCTCTCAAGACGCCCTCCCTCCTAGCTCCTCCATGACACCTGAGGGGTATGATGCCCCAAACCCGCAAGAACAAAGACTTTTTTTGAAAAGTCACTCTTGACAAGTGGGTGGGGTGGGGTGAGAATTGCTTAATCCTCATAGGAAACACCTTCATATGGAAATACCGTTACCACAAGGCTCTGCAGCTGCCTTTGGAAGGACCTAGTCCTAGGACCCAGAGGAACCCTACTACTACAGGGAGAGAAGCAACATTCTGGGGAATGTTCTTCCCAAGCTTAGACATGAAAACGGTCCTGAAGTTGAGCTTTTGTTTCATTTTCTCTGGAGAGCACTTTTCACACACACCCGGAAAAACGTCATTTGCTCACAATGGTATTTCTTTTTCTTCTGGGCCTTTTTGTGACAGAATTTCTAAATGCCCACCTTTCGCAGCATGTGCACCGCCTGCCTGCCTCTCTTTTTTCCCCAGGGAGCGTTACCTTGGAATTGAATGTTCTGGCGTAGGAACACTTACATAGGCACAATTCCCAATGTCCTTGGCGAAGATTTTGAGGGGAATGCTCTTCGGGCAGTCCTTCTCTTTTTCTAGACTGATGGATCTAATCAAATGCAACAACAGCCCAAAACAACAAGCAGTCAGAGGGATGTGCCCAATGGCTTCTTTCACTACCAATTTAGTTGGCTAATTACTTGCAATACACCAACATGCCATGGAAACCAAACCAATAAGCAGAGAGAGTCTGTAGAGTCAGATTACATTATGTATGGGTTGGTAGAGAATTAAAAAAATATATATCTTAGGACGGTGAAAGACAGGGACACCCAACAGAACGGAACGTTCTTGTTAAGTAGCTTTTGGGAAACACAATCAGGTTAAGGCAACTTTGGGAGAGGTTTTTACTCTCCAAGGTTCTCTGCCTTCTTCTTGGGACAAGGCCAGCACAACATCTCTCTGATAGAGAGACGAGCACACATCACACTTAACTAGACCAAATCACAAGCGTGTTGTGAGTCTCTGTCACCCATTGCTTGAGAAAGGAATTACGGAACTGACGGATGAACATAACTCCATCATTTTAGCCTGTATGCCCACAGGTACAAACAGTAGCTGATTGGTTGGGTCTTAGCAGAGAATCCGGATTTATGGAAAATTAATGTAGGCTTTGAGGCAATCGTTAGCTTCAACTGGTAGGCTGGAGAAAACAGAAAGGGGTGGGAGAGACTGCTGTCTCATTTCTACCTAAGTGAGCTCAACTGACCTGAACGTTGTACATCCTAGAACACAGGTACATGCAATGCGAGAATATTATTTACAGCAAGGGGTGGCTAGAGTAAAACCTAAGCAATAGCTTCTTTTGAGAACAAATCAACCATTTCTACTAAGGATATGGGGAAAAGCTCAGGACATATCTCTATAAAGATGATTTCCATTTGTTTAATACAGGTTAAAGAATGTTAAAAAGGGTATCGCCAAAATACCTCTGAAGGAGAGAGAGCCACTTGTCTTTTTGTTCCGAAGAACTGCAATCAAAGAGAAGAGAAGAACAAATTAAGCCACGTAACCTATGCTAACATGGCCCATCGCGATGGAAACATCAACAGCCTGTGGCTCTTGTTTCCTTTGCACACATCACCTTCAATCTTGGCCTACCCAGGTGTTGGAGCAGCCTGCAGTACAAATCTCCCTTAGTAAAAACTATGCCGTGGAGCAAAAATGGCTCCAACCTCAGTGCCACGGTGGACCGTGACTCATGGAGACCGTGCAGGAAGGACCGTGTGCAGACCGACACCTGCGCTTTTCCGAGGCTGTAAGGCTTTCCAGGAGCAGAGAGCCTCTTCCTCCTCCCGTGGAGAGGCTGCAGGTTTCAAACCGCTGACCCAGTGGTTAGCAGCCCACCCACTAGGGCGCCAGGGCTCCTTGTAGTCAAATCCTCTTGGGTGGATCCAAGACAGTCAGGTCTTTGTTTGTTTACTCTACTGCTCTTTTACAGGCTGTATTATAGTCATGTAAGCTACGTGACCACGGGAAACTCATTTAACCTCTCCCAGCCTCAGTTTCCCCATCTGTCGGGCTGGGTTCAGGGTTCTCACTCAGAGCTTCTTTGTAGAGTGTTAGGTGTCTCACAGACACAGAATGTGTGCTTAAGATTGAGAGGAGAGAATTTCGAGAAAGTTCAATTTGGCACATATGGATGGAAATGTCTTGACTCAGAAACTAGTTTGTCGTCAGGAAAACATTTACTTCTTTATGCAGGGAAGAGATGAGTAATTTGGTAAGTTCGTTTGGAGAAAACATATCCTTAATGACTATAATATTCTGATTAAGATTAATCCATTCATAGGCTAAATAACTAATGCCAAATACTTTTCCTTCTAAAGTTACTGCTGCATTTAATTCCCAAAATTTATTCTTACCGGGTCTTATCACTCACTAGCGTTTGAAATAATGTTTCTTAATCTTCTCACGGGTTGAAAACTCTAGTTATTTTCCTGTTCCAGAAAACTACATTTAGTAAATATTGTTGTTTCTAGCTTTGTTGCTTAGTAATTTTCTTCATAAATCTCTTGGTTATCTAGGGCTCCTACAACAGAAACACCATAAACGGAGACGCTAACTACCAGAATTTATGACTTCACAGGAGGCTGGGATTCTGACTTCTAGGTGCCGGCTCGAGGGGAAGGGATTCTCTCTCTGCCATCCTGGGAGGAAGGCTTTTGTCTTTCTGAGCTTTTGCTTCTGGGCCAGCTTCCTGTGACCTGGAATTTCTCTTCCCCTATCTCTGTTTGCCCAATCTGTCCTTTTTATCTCTTGCAAGAAGAGAGGAACTAAAAACACACAATACATGAATCCTGCCTCACGAACCTACAGAAAATGTATTCCCAAATGGGATTATAACCACAGACACAGAGGGTTAGGATTTAGAGCACACATTTGGGGTGGTGGTGGACATATTTAATCCAAAACAATAAACAGTCTCCCAGGACGAACTGTCAAAAAGTGTTTTGAGAACAAAAAATCTTACCATAGTGAATGATGGGGGGAGTGCGGAGTGGAGACCCAAAGCCCATTTGTAGGCCACTGGAGATCCCCTTGCAGAGGGGTCTCGTGGAGGAGACAGCCAGTCAGGGTGCAATGTGACAATGATGAAAAATACAACTTTCCTCTAGTTCCTACATGTTTCTTCCCCGCTCCCACTATCATGACTCAAATTCGACCTTGCAAGTCTGGCTAGACCAGAGGATGTACACTGGTACAGATAGGAACTGGAAATCCAGGGAATCCAGGGTGGATAAGCCCTACAGGACCAGTGGTGTGAGTGGCAAAACAGGGAGGGTAGAGGGAGAGTGGATAGGAAAGAGGGAACCGATGACAAAGAACCATATGTGACCTCCCTGGGGGATGGACAACCAAAAAGTGGGTGAAGGGAGATGTCGGACAGGGCAAAATATGACAAAATAACAATTTATAAATTATTAAGGGCTCATGAAGGAGGGGGGAGCGGGGAGGGAGGGGAATATGAGGACCTAATGCCGGGGGTTTAAGTGGAGAGGAAATGTTTTGAGAATGATGAGGGCAATGAATGTACAAATGTGCTTTACACAATTGATGTGTGTATGGATTGTGATAAGAGTTGTATGAGCCCCTAATAAAATGATTTTAAAAAATGTGTTTTCAGTGTTTTTCTTAACACTGACTATATCATTCCCATCTCTCACAACTCCTTACTGTTTTTAAAGAATTTATTCTCCTTCCCTAAAATGGAAGATCTTGTAGGTTCATTTATATTTATTTAGCAAAATCTCTGTGTTGGAAAACAGACATGAGCAGCAACAACATAACTCAAAACTGGACTTAATAAAAATTAGAAACTTTGAAGCATCCAAGGACTTTACCAAGAAAGTGATGAGACTATCTACAGCATGGGTTCTCAAAGTTACTTGGCCTACTGCCCCCTTTTTCAGAGGGGAAAAAAATTACTCAGCGCCCCCTGGCAATGAAAATATTTTCCATGGTAGCTGGAATAAAGCGTAGATCTCTGCTTTGGCAGACCAATCCTTGGATTGTTCCAGTGCCCACCCACCTCCGCCATCATCCCTGCCAGGATGCAGTATCACCCATTTTGGGAAAAACTAATCTCCAGACGGGAGAAAATATTTAGTAAACATATATCTGATAAAGGTTTCGTGTATAAATGTAAAAAGAACTCCTACCACTTACTATTAAATAACCCACTTAAGAAATTAGCAGAGGATTTGAATAGGCAGCCCTGCAAAGATAACACACATGGCTGATGCACACGTGGAAGATGCTCGGCATCACTGGTCATTAGGGACGTGGCATCAAAGCCACCATGAGATACCACACTCACATGGGTCTCATCAGAGAAAAAAGAATGCTAACGAGTGTTAGTTGGGACATGTGGAACTCTCATGTACAATGGTGCAGTTGTTACGGCTAAAAAGTTTGGCGGTGCCTCAATAAGGTAACACGGAATTAACATGTGACTCAGCCGGTGTCCCCCTGCTAGGAACATCACACAAACAACGGAACCAGCAGATACTCGGATACTTGCACGCTAATATTCACTGCAGCACGATTCACAATAGCTAGAAGAAGGAAACCACTCAAATAAATGTCCATCAACAGGTTACCGGATTAACAAAATACTGTTTCTACAGGCAACAGATCATACAGTCCTGGGGAGAAATGAAGTTTGGACGCATGCACGAACTTGGATGACTGGTGCTAAGTGAAATAAGGCAGACACACAAAAATATAACATTTATTGTACAGTTCCATTTGATGGAAAATATCTAGGCAAAAATTTTCTTCGGAGCTGTTACAAAACTTTCTCGAAAGCAAAGATTTAAAACACTTTGTATTTTTCTGAGAAACGTTTTATTGATGTCTAAGAGACACCGAAAATTGCCCAAGGTTTAAATGGACAGCTCAAAGGTACAACCTGAACACACTCAGCTAGCCAGAACCCAGACAACGAAATAGAACAGTACCTGAGAAGGTGCCCTGCGATGCTTTTCAGGCACCAGACCTCGCTACCCTGACTTCTAACAGCATAGAGTTGGGCTCTGTTTGTTTTTTCACTTGTTTGGATACTTCATACAAATGTGACCGGGCAATCTGTACTATTTTGTGCCTGGCTTCTCTCATTTAATTTTATGCTTAGGAGATTTATGCCTGTCACTGCCTGTAGCTTTACAGTGATCCTTCATTTTCATTGCTCTGTAGTGTTCCATTGTTTGAATATACAACACAGATGAAAAAGAAACAAATGATAAAGCATGTCAGGTTAATTTATTGAGATTGCCTTGTGTGTGGATCTTCATATATTTCCCCCGTCTCCCGTTCCTTGCAACAATCCGGGACTTTCTTTAATTCTTATTTTTAACAGCTTAATTGGCATATAATTCACTTATCATAAATCATAGTGGAAAGAGGTGTACTGCCATCACCATCAACTTTAGAACATTTTCTTCATTCTTGTACTTGTCATTAGCTCCCTGTTTTGTCTTTCACTTTATGACCAGGCTTCTTTAAGGGACTGAAAACAGAAAGATTCCAGAGTGGTTGAATATCTCTTCCGGTCTCAGAAACACCCAGACCTCACTGGAAACTATCAATACATAAAAGTTGTTGTTAGATCAGTTCTGACTCACAGTGACAGCCTCACGACCATCATCGTTATGTTTGAGCCTCCGGTTCCTTTTTCTCGATGACCTTCTGCTTTACCCAAACGTGATGTCCTCTCCCAGGGACCAGCTTCTTCTGGTAACAAGTCCGGAGTATGTGCAACAAAGTCTCCACATCCTTGTCTCTGGCATGCGGACTGCACTTCTTTCAAGGCTGATTTTTTGCTTCTTCTGGCCGTCCAGGGTGCCGTCAATGTTCTTCTGCAACTTCCTAACTTGAAGGCATCCATTCCCCTTTGGTCCTCCTTATTCACAGTCCAGCTCTCACCTGCATACGAGGCGACTGAAAAGATCACAGCTTGAGTCAGGTGCACCTTAGTTCACAAAATGACATTCTTGATCTTCAACACTGTAAAGATGCTTCTGCAACATATTTGCCTAATACAATGTCTTTTGATTCTTTGTCTGTTGTGTAGGGACTGTGATCCCAAAGGCTGGCAGTTCAAAACCACCAGCTGCTCTTTGGGAGAAAGACGGGGCTCTCTACTCCTGTGAAGAGCTACAGTCTTGGAAACTAACAGGGGTAGTTCTATTCTGTCCTATAGAGTCGCTATGATTTAGCATCGACTCCACGGCAGTGAGGGAGAGCTTCTCTGAGTGTTGGTTGTGAAGCCAAGCAAAATGAACTCTGACAACCTTGAACTTCTCTGTTTATCATGATGTGGTGTACTAGTCCAGCTGTGAGGATTTTGGTCTTCTTTACACCGAATGGCTCTGAAGGCGGCAGTCCTTGATCTTCAACAGCAAGTGCTTCAAGTCCTCCTTGCTTGCAGCAAGCAAGACAGTGTCACCTGAATCTCTCAGGGGGGTTATATAAGCCTTTCTCCAATTCCGGTGCCACATTTTCCTGAATAAAGTCACAGGCCAGGTTCGCTTAGGGAATGGCTGGTGGGTTTGAGGCTCTGACCTGGCTAGTAGCCACGTGCTTTACCCACTGGGCACCAGGGCTCCTTGGGAAGCCAGCAGTGCACGATGCAACTACTGACAAGCCTTGCCTTAATTAGGAGCCTAACAAATGTTACTTATTTGGCTTTGGGATGGTATCTGAGGAGGATGGTGGTGATGAACTCTCTAAATGTTAAACAGGTCACTTTATTTGGGGTGGTGGCTGGTCACAATCATCCACGTGAGTTTTGGTATCGTTACACTGAACTGCAAAGTGTCAATGGAGCATTTTTAGAGCAAGAGGACACATTCGCTCTTCAAATATTCTCTAACCCCATTCCACCATGGGAATGTATCTTGTGAAACGAATTCCCACTCTCGGAATCGTCATTTTCTTTATCTTGCCACATCTCTGTATCTATCTATACAAGGGGGCACCAAATAAGTTGATGGAAAAACGTAATGAAGAGATAATGGGGAGTTCTCATGAACTTTTGGAAGGCTTTTTATATTAATAATTATTGACATAAGGCCCCGCACCCCAAATGCAAAAGCAACTCATATCTCCAGCTTTCCCACTTCTCCATTATCCTCAGACTAGCCACTTCGGTGGTATTTCTTTTTACCAGTGAGGACTAGACTGTGTCCTCTCAGCCCTTGCCAAGGAGGCAAAAGCCAGCATCCCTGCTGACTCTCAAAGCCCCTGTGGGTTTGCTTTGCTAGGACTACAGCAGAACTTATGAATACTCTCTGTACACACAGTGAACCACTTACTATACCCAGAGAAGATACAAGTACAGAGACGTATCGGGCTTGGTCTGGCTGAGGTCCTGGCGCAAGGCTTCCGCTGTCCCCCATACCCCCCACCCTGGGAAGTGTCACCTGCTCCTGATACTCTTGTCCATTCAGAAAGGTGCCCCTGCCACCCCATTTCCACATTTGGGGCTTTTATTGGCCCAGTGATAATCCTTGGCTGGGATCTCAATGCAGGCGGTGGTTGGCTGAGCCACTTCATCTGCACGAATGATTGCATCACACCACACCCCCTCTTCCTAATGTTTGCAGGCCGTGGGGCTCCTGCAGCCACTCCTCATTTGCACCTGTTTTAATTGTTGCCAGGCTCCTTAAGAAAACAGGAGGCAAGCTGACTGCCCTCGGTTTCAAGACAAAGGACCAGGGACAAAAGGCCATATCAAGCTCTTTGTCCCACAATACCAAACTAGAAAACGATGTGGAAATGCAGGCAACCCAGTATTTTAGAAGAGCCGTGGTGGTGTAGTGGTTACACATTGGGCTGCCAGTTGCCAGGCCAGCAGTTCGAAACACCAGAGAGAGAGGAAGACCTGGCTTTCTTCTCCTACCATCTTGGAAATCCACAGGGACAGTCCTACCCTGTCCCATAGTGTCACTAACGATAGGCTTCGACTCCATCGCAGTGAGTTTTGAGTTTAGTATTTCATGATATTAATGTTATGTCTATAGCTAGAATTTTTTCTTTAGGGGAATTTGGGGTATAGATGAGTTCTTCTGGTTTCTTTGGAGTATTTTACAAATTTTCCTTTGGTGAAAGTCATTAAGACATAGGATTGGAAAGCTCAGCACGTAAAGCAAGCATCTGGGAATTAGGGAAGGGATGTTTGCAGAGAATGTCCTGTAAATCTACCACCCAGTTCCCCTTCCCAAGGAGCCCTGGTGACAGAATTGGGTAAGCGCTAGACTGCTAACCGTGTATTAGGGCCTAGATTCTGAACACCCCTCTTGCAGAAGGCTATGGATGACAGTGAAAGCCCCCCAATCCATTTGCACAGTCTGCAAGTACATTAAGCCTCCAGGGAATTCCTTCTAATCACAACCAAGGGGCCCTGGTGGTGTAGTGGTTGCACACTGGGCTGTGACCTGCAAGGTCAGCAGTTTGAAGCCACCAGCCATTCCATGGAAGAAAGATGAAGCTTGGGACCCTCAGAAAGCATTACAGTCTCAGGAACCCACCTGACCTATAGGAAGTCAAGTCTATGGCAGTGAGTGTTTTGAGGATTAACCAAGGTTGTCATACTCCTAGCAACCCTACAGGGCAGGGACGGCAGCTCTCTCATGGAGCAGTGTGGGAAACTAACACTGCGGGAAACATGATGAGGACTATAGTCCCTAACGGATAACAGAGGGAATCTGGAAAGCTAGTATTCCCCGTAGGAAAGCCACCACTTTGGTAAGTCAGAGATAAAGTCCAAGTATATTATCCTGCTTTAAATATCATTCCCACAGATTCTTGCCTAACAGCTATGCTGCTGAAAGTGAGCACATGGTTGATTCTGTCTCCCTATAGAAGCAGACATTCTTTTTATCTCCTCCCGCGACAGCACCCATCTCCCCTCACGCCTTCCCCCAATGCAGGCATTAGGTTTCCTCACCTGTGAGCTCAGGGACTTCACTGTGGTCACCACCCACCTGTGATGTATGCAACTACTGTATTTGCAAGATTCTCTCTGGAGGTGAGCATGCTACCATGAAATGTGTCTGACTCCTTTATTTTATTCTCTCTCCTCTCTCTCTTATCGTTTATGACGTTACCACAATCTTTACAACTTAAACCGTACAATTGCGCCTACAGACCCCTCATTTGTTAGAGGCTGGCTTACTCAGACAGAGTAGGAAGCTTCCTCTTTCTCCCTCTGTGGTTAGTAGCCCGTTACTATACCAGGATCGCAATCCAACTGGCAGACAGGGAGTTGTTGTTTTTAAGCCAAGGATTCAGATAATCTTAACCTCAGACAGTTCATGGGAAAGTGGATTACCTCCGCCCCTCTCCAGCCAACCCAAGGAGGGCCATCTCCCTTAGGGGCTTGCCTGGGTGTGTCCTTGTTGGACAGTACAGGGGGCTGAATCATCATGAGTCATGCTCTATCTATGGTGCCCTGGCTGCCTGGGACAGAAGGCCTAGACCAATCTTGTGAGCTCTACTATCTAACATGATGTACGTGTCCCAACCATGGTCCTGATTCTCGATTCTGCATTCCCACCTGTACCTGTGATGTGCTGAGCTGCCACGAATCATGAACTATTTCAGTTTCCTTTGTTCCAGGCCCGAGTTAATGAGCATCCTGACAGTGAATCCTCGATGCTATTTTTACCTCATGCCAATGGCCTCCGGCATCTGAAAGATGTGTCTTTGTCCGTTTTAAGACTTAGTAAATGTTCTTATTAAATTATATTTGAAATTGAGGGTTTCTTTTGTACCCTAAAACACCACAAGCCAGTCCCAGGGAGAGAGGTGAGGCTGCCTGCTCCTGTAAAAGATTCATAGTCTCCCCCAAACGCTGAATCAGGTTACTAGGAGTCAGAAGTGACCCTACGGCAGTGGGTTTGGCTTGGTTTGACAGCCCAGTTCTCAAAAAGTCCTTTAAATATCAGCTGGCCAAACCAAGGTCAGGGAGTCAGTTGATATGCAAATATTATAACAGAAAAAACTTTTTCCTTCCAACAGTTTTAATAAGCATAAACTTCACAAGCCATGCAATTTAATAGTTCAATCACATCCAGAAGAAATGAACAGTGATCACCACAAACCATTTTAGAACATTTTCTTCATGCTTGTTCTCACTGTACCTTGCTCTCCCCATCCCCCCCCCGAAAGTTTCCGTAATGAGAAAACAACTCTTTGGGGGAAACGTTGTCTTCATCAGTGACATGTATCTCAAGATGACTTGGCACCCACAGTCTAACTACAATGCTTCCCTTAAAACGCAAGGGGAAGACAATTTGCTAAGTTTTTCCTCTCTCAGACATGACACCCATCATCTCAGAAATGATACCCACATAACCCGTTGCAAGGAAAGCGGGGGTTCTTACCTGAAGGTGGCCACAAAGTTCACGGTGGGCCAGCCCAGGACAAAGGATTTCTGGGCATTGGTGTTGCCTTCTCCCACTTCATCCACACAGCTTGCTGTCCACATGTCACTGAGCTTTATTTTATTTTTAATCTTAAAGTTGTTGTTATATCTAAAAAGATTTAAAACAACAACAACAACAAGACCACATGTTATTTTGTTTCTTAGGTGTTATGGGAACTTCTGTGCTTGAGAGAGAAAGGACCGTTTCGTTATCGGGACAAAGGTCTTAGTCACTGCTTTCCTCTTCGGAGCCCAGCACAATAACTTGTAATGTGGTCGGTTTTTACTTGGGGCCGGCATGGGGCTGAAAAAGGCCGTATGCTTGCCTTGGTGGCTGCAAATATCCATAAGCTGGCTCCTCAAGTCTTCTGTGTGTTGAGCATTGCATTTATCGTGAAACTCTACCCTTGAGTTTAATGCTGTTTTAAAGAATCAGTCCATCATTTATAGAACTTGCTCACCTCCAAGAACATCTGAGCAGCTGAACAAAAGTGTAGAAATATATCATTTACTAAAATACTTATATGATGCATAGTTTAAGAGAGGTGGACTAGATAATATAACCTGGAATGAATGAAACTTATAAAATACATTTTCAACTGAGTATTACAGTATAAAATTTTCTAGACGTTAGAAGCATAGGCCATTTTGAACACCCTTTCCATACATTCTGTTTATAACATTTTACCTGGTATTCTGGCTAAAACAGAAAAACTATATTCTAACAACCGGATCCAAGGTTAAAGAAAGGAAAATAAAATGAGGCCAGACATTTGTTTTTGAAGTTGGGCTGACACACTTACCATTCATCCCTGCGGACCCAGAAGGTGATCTACTTTGAGCCAGTGGCACAATTGCTTTTTGACAATTTCCCCCTAATCCCTCTTAGACTTCTGATGTGGAAACCACCAAATGTATTGCCCCAATTTAATGCTCACGCTGGACCTGAGACTTAAAATAGTTCCACAGCACCAGGGAGGATAAAGCGAATGCCTATGAAATCTTGGGCACTTCCTGTTGTTCAGAACCCTTTGTGGAAAGACTTAGGCTAACACGAACTCAAAGGCACCTCATATGGAAATGTCCCGGAAAACCCGCGGATTCATGGAACTTTCGGAGCTGAAACTCTTCAATGAGGTTTGTGAAATGAAAAAGGGATTTGCAGGAGCTACACCTGCAGGGTCATCTAGATCCAAAGCCTCGCGTATGCTTCTCATGGGCAACACAGCATTTTTTTTCCTTTTGAATTTTTTATTGTGCTTCAGTTGAAAGTTTAAAGAACAAATCCGTTTCCCCACGCAATAGCTAGAATGCAAATGGTTCCAAGGCATCGGTAGCCTTCCCCCCAAACTGGCAACAATCTCTCCGTCTTATCTGGATTTCTACCCCTGGCGGCCTTCCCAGCTTTGCTTTTGGGCAAAGGTGGCCCTTTTGATTTCACCTAATTGATTTTCGATGGGTGGGACTCGACCCGATGGCAGTGAGCCACTCAGTCTGAAGGCATACGTTCCGCTCAGGTGACGTTGCTTGTTTTCCAGGCCTGTCTATTGTTTGGCTCCAAGCTGGTCTCCAGGAATGATTTCATTCCCAGATGGGAAGGACGCTGTTTTAGGGCCAGTATCAGAGATTTCTCCTTCCTCTGTCAAACTTGCAAAGCCGGACTTCCTGTGTGTGTGCATTTTTTGTTCTACATTTTTCTTCAGCTGTCCGGGATCCTCTGCCGTGCGCGCAGCCAGAGCAGTTGGTAGTGGGAGTCAGGCACCAACTCGTACTGATGGTCTCCAGGTCATTCGGGCCTGGCACATGAGGTCTGTCAGTCACTTCTGAGGACTGACTGCTCCCGTAAGACAGGGATTTTCCTCAGGTTCTTTTGCTTCAAACGGGGACCAACCAATAGATATAACTTTAGTTCTCAACGGCAACTCTTCAACCCACGAACCCATTGCCAACGGACTGTTTCGAACTCAGTGAGCTGAAGGGCTTCACAGGGGTTCTCCGGCTGGCGGGTCCTAAGCGTTGGTATTTGGGTTAGCAGCGGAGGGCTTCACCTGGATGCCACCAGGACTCCTGCTGGCAATTATTTAAGCAAACTAGAATGAAATCTACATAACCTGCTTGGAAAGGTACAGACACGGGGGCTTCAAAAAACTTGTGGGAAAACGGAATCAAAGGGGCACAGAATGAAGGAACTGTTCTCAGACTGGTAGTGGTCATGACGGTACCACTCTTCTTCACGCAATTGAAGGATTGAGTTGCATGATCAGGGAACTCTCTGCCAAGAGAACTGTTAGGAGATAATGAAAATTCACCACCCCCCACCCCAGTGTCGGAAGTCCCCATATATTTGGTGGTTTTCACCGATTTCGTGTTTTCTGGTGTTGGTTTCTCTCTTTCAGACAGCTGAGAAACCACGGGGGAACTTCCTGGGGAAAAAAGAACTGACCTGGAAAAAATCTCATGCCAACAATATCTTTTCCCAAGTCAATAAAATGTCAAGATTATGCATCCCCCGATATAATAAACAAGGCTCTGACAGTCCAAATAATTTCCTTTCTTCTATAATAATACTGTGGTATTGCTAATATTTATTGAGAACTTACCACCATCAGCCAGCCACTCTTAAAAACTTTATATATACTATTTTATAAATCAACTGTATGAAGTATTATTACTTCTCTTTTATAGATATGGAAGTGGAGCCAAAAAGAGATTAATTACCTTTGTGAATGCCCAGCAGCTTAAGGTAGCAGAGCCAGAATCTGAATTTATACTCACTGATATTCCACTACTCATCTATAAAAAGCCCCTGACGACTGCTGTTTTTAGAAAGCAGCTGGGTGGCAGTATCTTTCCATCCACCTTTCTAGAGCTACAAGGCTTTCCACTGGGATTGGTTTGTTTGCCACAGAGGTTCAGGAAGACTATTTCTGTTCATAAAGCCTGAAAAGATTGAATCCAAATTAGGAGAGACCAGTCCCTGGAAAAGGACATCGTGGTTGGTAAAGTGGAAGATCGTCAAGGAGATGGACGGACACCATGGCTGCAACAAGGGGCTCCAACAGAACAAGTGTGAGGATGGCTCGGAGGGTGGCTCGGACCCGGCAGGCAGTGCCTCCTCCTGTGGTAATAGGTCCTCGCGGTCAGAACCAACCCAACCACCACCACCATCTCAATACAGTTTCACATTGGTCCTGGGGCCACTCTGGCTTTCTTTAGACTTTTCACTCTCGGTCTCGAATAGTATTAGACCACGCTAATAAAAATGAAAACATATGTAAAGTGGGGCTTGAGGCGAGGGTAAGGGTGGGGAGGAATTAAAAACCAAACGATCCTTGAGTCGCTGTCCCTAGAATGCAGTTTCTGTCTCACAAATGCATGAAGGTGGCAGACCCACGTCTGCGCTTTCAGTGATTACAATGGAAGAAGCGCCCTCTGAGGACAGTGCAGTATCCAGGCATCCAGGGAGTTCCACCCACTCGAGGACGGGGATGTTTCAGAAGGCGTTTTTTGACAGAGATCATGGTATAATCTGGAAGTATCTGTGGAAAATTCTGCCAAAGAATTAATAACCAGGGCTTTGTTCTGCTTCACCCTTTTCACGAAACAGAACTCACCATTATTTTCCCGTTTGTTTAGAAGATAAAGTATGAGAATGGTTGCAGCATAAGAGGATGAGAGCTAAGTACAGCCACTTTTTGTCAGTACATTCCAAATGCGTGCTGTGTGGCTATTAGCAGAGGTGATAATAACTTTTAAGTACTTTAACATTTATAATACAGAGATCCAGTATTAATAAAAATGGAAAGCCATAATTTTATTGGGACCATTACTTCTTATTTGGCTTTCTAATAAATAACAAAAGTGATCCCTCAGGTGCCATCTGGCTTTCATACTTAATCTAATGTAGGGTGGAAAAGGTTATGACGATACACAGAAAACAATTTTTAGCGAACATTATCAAAATCCAGCACACACTGAAGCAAATACAAGCCTATAACCTTAGCCAATAAAAAGAAGTATCTGAAAAACCTCCCTTATTATTTCATACACTAGAGTTCACTTAGTTTAATTGAATAAATATGGGCAGCAGGTCAACTATCTATTCCACTTAAACTTAGTTCTGCATTTATACCCTACAGACTGACTGTAACCAGTTTCTAACCAAAGCCTCAAGATGAGCTAATTCTCCTTGTGCCCTTCCCCCTCCACTCCCCAACGTGGCAAAGCACAAAGACTTAATTAATAGCTGAGAGTCCTTCAAATTAAGAGATCCAGGGTACAACCCAACCCTTCATCCAAGGGTGAGAAGTAACAGGGGGGATGTAGGTTTGGCACTACGTCTTCTTGGCTGTTGTTTATTTTGGATGAAAGAAAAATTAAGTCCTCTCTTCCTACAGGAGAGAGCAGAATTGTACCGGGGGGCTTCTGAGGCTGAAAAACTCTCCAGAAGCAGACTGCCCCATCCGCCTCCCCTCTACCTTCTGGGTCACACATCTATGTGCCCAACGAGTAACAACGGGGTACAGGGGAAGGGACGCGGGCGTTGGAGTCAAGGTCTGGATCCAAACCCCTGCTCGGCTATTATTTCCTAATGCATGGTTTATGATATTGTTTGATGATTTCTGCATCCTGCTTGATCATTCTTCTTGAGGATGCTCACACACATGGCTATTTTCTAGTCAGCTGGCTGGGTGGCTTTCTTCTAAATTACTTGATGGACACGAACGAGTACACACATTCAGGGTTCTCTTTTGTTGAACATCTCAGTCGGTGGTCCATCGATTCCTGTTGCTCTGCTTTTTGTAGGCTAGTGTTTGGCAAAGCTAGTAGCTGGCCTGCAATGCCATACCTATCGCAGGATATGAATGCAATGACAGCGAGGGCTGTGAAATCGTGTTTTCTACTCTCCAGTGAATAGAAAGATCTTTGATGAGATCTGTTTTGTTAAGACTCTTGTCTACCATGGTATTTCACAAGTAACAAGAATGGCGAAGAAGCAATAAGGCTGAGCGCAAACGGTATTGGCATTTAGTGTTGAGGAGAAAGTGCATCCTTAAGCCATATATTCCAAGTGGATCTGTATTTTTTCATCTAACTACTATTTTCCTAAACAGAAACCTTCATCACCTCTCATTCGTAGTTCTACAATAGCCTTCATACTAATTCTGTCCAATCCATGATCTACCAGCAGTTAGAAAACCTAAAAAATATGAATCAGATCATGCACTGCCCCAACGAAGACCCCTCCAAAAAAGATCCACACTCCTTATCATAGGTTTTGGGGTATCCAGCCTATAGGACGGCCCCCAGTGATCCCCATATCTTGATATGAAAACCCTGAATCGCCTCCCTTCCACACTCTACCAGAATTGGTCTGTGTGACCAATAGCAAACACTAAGAATGATAATGTGCTCATCAAAAATTAGGCTAGAAAGATTGTAGCATCTCTCTTAGGTGCTCTTGCAGACCTTCCAAAGGAAGCAAGCTATGAGCAGTTTGTAGAAGCGAGCCACATGGAGAGGAAGCCAACAGCCAGCAAGGAACTGAGGCCCGTCAGCCGCCCATGAGTAGCTTAGAAGTGAATCCTCCAGCTCCCGTTGAGCCTTCCTTGAGATGACTGCCATTCCAGTCAATGTCAACAGCACCACCTGTCATTTCAGAAAGCCCTTAAATCAAGAGTCACCCAGCTAAGCCACTGCCAGATTCTGGACTCAGACTATCTGTGAGGTATTTGTGGTTTTTTGGTTGTCCCGTATTGTTGGAGTAATTTGTTACACAGTAGTAGATAGCCTCCCAAAGACCTTGGGACAGTTAGGTTTGGTCAGTGTAGCTGGGTCAGGGTATTCAGTGATTTGGGAGTTAAGCCCTAGCAATTCCCCATGATGTCATGTAACACAATGTAATCAACCCAACAACCGGACCCACTGTGGGCAGCCGGTAAGATTAGGGTGGAACGCAACCTCCTTATTCAGGTCTCAGCTCTGAAGCAATGGAAAGGACGTTTCTTTCGGGGTGTGGCCTAATTTCTATATAAGTGGACACTATGAGTAAACTTGTTGCTTTATTGCAGTATCTGGATCTTTCATCTGAGCTCGTTCTTTGGACGTGAGCCCAGAGCCTGCCATATTGCTTGGCAATCCCTGGAGCAATCAGTATGCTGCCATCTGACCTGCTGCCTTTAAATTCACTTGTCTCTCTAGCCATAAGCCTGACTTGCTTTAGAGTCCATCCATCTCTGCAGCCTGTGGTGTTCTCCAAAGTTCTGGGGTTCATCAGCCCCCAAAGCTATGGGAGTCAGAAGTCTCCGTCCAGTTTAACATCTTATATAAGGACTGAACTCAGCCTGGATTTACCCCCCTTCTACAACTGTGTGAGTCATTTTCTCTGGATAAAATTTTCTCTGTACGAAGTGTTACTGGCTTTGCTTCTCAAAGAACCCTTGAAATGAAGTTTCTCCACTTTTTCAGTCCCATCTCCAGCACTGTCTTCCCACTCACTATGCTGCAGTTATAAATGGAGACCTCAAACAGTTGATGGATATATGGAACTGTAAGATTAAAATTAAAAAAAAAATAGAGACTTTATTTCTCAACATAGCCTCCACAAGATCAAGCCACTTTTAAGCAATGATACCAGCCATTTCATCCGTCCCTAAAGAAAGGACGGTCCTGAGAATTTAGCCCTATCAAGGCAGTCTTTCTACTGAGCAAAAATGAGTGCCCTTTAAAGACTTTATGAGTAAACAAAAAGAAGCGCAAAGGAGCCAAGCAGGGCTTTACAGAAGATGCCTAACAACTTCCCAGCCAAGATGGCGAGATGGCCCTTTGACGAGAGGAATGTGCAGGAGCACTGTTGTGGGGCAGAAGGACCCTCGGTGAAGTCTGCTTGGACATTTTTCTGCTAACGCTTTGGCTAATTTTCTCAAAACAGTCTCATCAGAAGTGGATGTCATTGTTCTTTGGCTCTGCAGAAAGTCAACACACAAAAGGCCGTGTGCACCCCCCAAAAACAAAAGGCCTTGTGCACCCCCCAAAACCATAACCTCTGCTCCTGACCAGTTCATTTTTGCTTTGACCACGTTGGCCTCTTGGATTACCGGAAAAGTCACGTGGAACTTGTCCACTCGCTGCAGCTGATCTGGTCACAACTGCTTGGGTCCTCACCAAGCAGAGAGCGTGCTTGGCTTCCTTTTCCCAGTCAGAATCACATAAGCAGACGCAGGTGAAATGTCCAGGCACTGTTATTTCTGCTGTCGGTCATTGCTAGCCTTCAACTGCGGCGTGGCTAGTTTAGTTGTTTCTCTGCACACTGATGTGGCTGGTCGGCCGCTGGGGGCTTGTCTTCTTCAATGGCATCGAGGCCCTTTTCTTGAAACGAGTGATCCATCTGTAAGCGGCTAAGTCCCTCGGAGCATTGTCTTCGTGAACTTTCCGTGAAGCATCAATGATTTCACCTTTCTTCTACCTACGTTTCCCCATGAAGGTGATGCTTGTTCGTGCCTATGCATTTTGCTCTAAGCGGGGCTCTTTTCAAACTGATGTCTTATCCATTTCAGTGTCTCGAACCAGAACCTGTTCAGATGTGTCATCCCAAGTTAGTGCAAGCTCATTTCGGTGTACAGCAAAAATTTCAAAACTCACTTGAAAAGCAGTTTAACCATGAAAAAAAGGGAAAGTGCTTTAAAATGGATTATGGTAACGATTGTACAATTCTTCTTGATACAATTGAACTATTGAGTTCTATGATATGTGTATTATGTGCCAATCAAACGGTAAAAAACAGTGGAATTGCCATACCATATGTACTCTAGTATAAGTGACCTGAATATCAGCCGAGGCACCTAATTGTACCACAAAAACAGCATTAAAAAATGCGCTGAAAAACTCGGCTTTTACACTAGTATATGGTGTAGAAGGTATATAGTTTTCATAATCTGTATTTTCCATGAACTTTTTAAAGACTCCTTATATGGGCCTTCTTTTAACTTCCACAACAAGGACTGGGCTCTCATCCTTACTGTTGCACCCGCTGTGCCCTCTACACAGGAAGCTCATCCTTCTGTATCTGAGAGGCTGCTTGCTTGCAATCCCTCAATGGCTTTACCTACCTGGTGACCCTCAGCTAACACATGTCCTGTCTTCGTCACCGGCAGGCACCTACCCTCTCCCGGAGCACTACTCACAAGCTGTCATTTCCCAGAAGGTCAGCTCCAAGAGCGCTGGGACAGCAGCTGTCACGTTCATTACTGTGTCCCCACATTACTGGCATGGAGCAAGGCCAAATTCACAGAATAAGCAACTGAAAACACTGTGTGTGTGCAAAAATGAAACAGAAACTCACATCAGATATGAGCACAAGTAGCACAGGCCAGGCATTCCGATAGAAAGAAGATTTGGAGGAGGAAGGCTTATCTTTACTAACGATGAGCAGGACACAGCGTGTAGTATACTTACTTGATTTTGGCCACAACGAGCAAATCATTGAACAGGAAAAGGTGCCGCTCCTGTCTTTGCAAGCCTCTTCTGAGTTCTACCCAGCCGTCAATCAGCAGAGTCCGACTGGCGCCGGTGAATGACGACAGAAACGCACACGTGTCCACGCTAGCCGAAGGACTCTCCCTGTCACAGAGCAAGCACCCCAGAGCAGTGGGTTAGTCAAATGGTTAAACATAGGGCTGAGTTCCTATAAAGGTCTAACCTATGGTTGATCAAGAAAGAGAAAATTCAATAAATTTTAAAATGCCATCTCACAGCTTTCTAAGCGGACTCCTTAGATAAAGCAGTCCCTTCTAGCCCACACCAACATCTTATTATGAAAAATTTCAAACATAAAGCCATGTTCTGATGGTTTTTATAATAAACATCTAGATTTTATCATTAATATTTTGCTATACTGATTCATCATATACCTTTCCAACTATCTATCCTTCTATCTACTCATTAATCCATGTTCTCCCCGCCTTAAAAAAACCCCACTTGATAAGGCGCTAATCCAGACATCATGCTTTTCCATAGTCTAATCACATCAAGTAGTGTTGCACAATTGCTACTAAAATCCATTTCAAAACATTTCTTCCTTCTTGAGCTCCTCGCTATTAGCTCTCCCTTAGCACCACCATCCACCTCCCCAGCGCACCTCCCAGGAACCCTGATTCCCGGGGCTGTCTCTGTGGGTTAATCCAATCCTGGGCTCACCTACTGAAAAGCATGTCACAAAGATTCAAGAAGGCTATCCATGATGACAAACTATAGCAGAGATAAACTGAAATATGAAAACACACGCAGAAAACATTAAAACCCAGATCAGATCCAAAGTGTACCAGAGGGGAGATCAAGTGACAAAGTTTTAACTTCTTTCAATCAGATTTATCACTTTAATCTACTATGGTCATCTCTCCAATATTCTCTGGCAATCACTTTATTCCTATCCTTCAATTACTGGCGTCTTTTGGTTCATTTCAGTGCTAACTTCAGGTAGCAGTCAATACACATCTTTTTAAATACTTCAATGTGCAAAAAATTAACGAGTTCAATTTGGATTTACAAATTTTCATTTGAGATAAAATTTACATAGGAAATGAGATGCAAAAATATCCTATGTGTATACCGCTTAGCTTTAAATGTCTGTGTAATCTAACCCAAACCAACGGGCCTCACTGCCACTGTGCTGCTGCTGGCTCAGAGTGGCCCTGGGGGACAGGGCAGAACTGCCCATGAGTCGAGACTGGTTGTTTAGGGGAGGAAAAGCCACGTCTTTCTCCCGAGAAGCGGCTGGTGGTTTTAAGTCATCAACATAGAGACATTTATCTTCTTTCTGGGATAGTCTGTCTTGCTCTTTCCTACTTAATCCTCATCCCATCATCCCCGCAGATCATCACTAGTCTGTTTTATTCCCACTCAACTTTTGTTTGGTCCTTATTCCCAGAGTTCCACATAAATGGAACCACAGTACACACTATTTTAAGTAAGATAGCTTTGACTCAGTATGTTTTAGAGTGCATACCTATTGTTACATATGGAAGTGATCTGTTCATTTGTATACTGCTGAGTAATATTCCACCCCCCCCCACCCCCCTGACACACACCAATGTGCGTTTATACATTTTCCTATCGAGGGCCACCCACCTCGCTGTTCCAATTTTTGGTTAGGAACAATAAAGCTGCAGTTTCACATTGCTGCACTGGTCTGTTTTATGACTTTTGTTTTCAGTTCTCTTGGGTGGATACCAGGGGAAGTGGGCATGCTGGGTCCTAGAATAGATGTGTGCTTAACTTTAGAAAAAATTGTGAGTTATTTTCCCAAAGTAGTCGTTCTATTTTACATCCCCACCAACACTGTATGAGAATCCCAGCTGGTTCCGAGGCACAGTGAAATTTAAGAAGTATGGCTCTATTATAAACTCTACAACATACTTTGGCTCTACATTGTAGATTTTCCACGATCCTTACATTGAAAGTAAGTAGCATATATTACTACTTGGCTAAGGTGAGCATCTGCGAGTTATTTCACAGATAACTTTTAGAGCTTTCGTTATTGCTCCGAGTAAATGGATTCTATTATGTTCACTAATTATTCATTAGGACCCCTTGTAGCCCAGTGGTTAAAACATCTGGCGACTAATCCAAAGGTCTGCGTTTCGAATCCACCAGCTGCTTCATAGGAGAAAGACGGGCGGCACCATTTCATAAACTGTTATAGCCTTGGGAACCCTTTGGAGGTAGCTAAGCATCCAAATCAACAAGACAACAATGGGTTTAGTTTTGATTTTATGCTTCATAGTAGAGACTGAAATTAAGCAGAATAGAAAGGCCCACCCACACTCACCATCATAGGAAATTAAATTTTTTTTATCACAAATTCTTTTTTGAGGTGAAGGGGAGGGGCATAATGGCTCCTCTCACCACCACCCCTCCACCCTCATGGACTGGAAGATTTGATTTTGTTTTTAGTTTTTCAAAACTAAGTATTTTAATGTAAATTAGGTGAAGGTTTACATAGCACATCACTAATTTACCACTCAACAATTACTGCACACTTTGATTATTGTGGTTGATTATTCTAACATGGGGGTTTATTATTCTTTTTTATCATTTTATTGGGACACATACAGCTCTTATTATAATCCATATATACATCCATTGTGTCAAACACATTTGTACATATGTTGTCATCATTATTCTCAAAACATTTTCTTTCTACTTAAGCCCTTGGTATTAGTTCATTTTTCCTCCTCCCTCATAAACCCTTACTAATTTATAAAGTATTATTATTTTTTCATGTCTTACACTGACAGATGTATCCCTTCACCCACTTTTCTGTTGTCCATCCCCTGGGGAGAGGATTACATGTAGGTCATTGTGTTTCCCCTTTCTCCCCGCACCTTCCCTTTTCCCTCCTGGTATTGCTACTCTCATTATTAGTCTTGAGAGATTTATCTCCCCGGGATTCCCTGTGTTTCCAGCTCTTATCTGTACTAGTGTACATGCTCTGGTCCAGCCAGATTTGTAAGGTAGAATTGAGGTCATCATAGTGGTGGGGAGGAAGCATTAAAGAACTAGAGGAAGGTTGTATGTTTCATCGATGCTATACTGCACCCTGACTGGCTCATCTCTTCCTTGTTACCCTTCTGTAAGGGGATGTCCAATTGTCTACACATGGGCTTTGGGTCTCCACTCCACACTCCCCCTCATTCAGATTGATAGGATTTTTTGTTCTGGGTCTTTGATGCCTGATACCTGATCCCATCGACACCTCATGATCACACAGGCTGGTGTGCTTCTTTCATGTGGACTTTGTTCCTTCTCAGCTAGATGGCTGCTTGTTTTTGTTCAAGCCTTTAAGACCCCAGACACTGTATCTTTTGATAGCCAGGCACCATCAGCTTTCTCCACCACATTTGCTAATGCACCCATTTATCTTCAGTGATTGTGTCAGGAAGGTGAGCATCATGGAATGCCAGGGTATTAGAACAAAAGGGGGTTTATTATTCTAACGCGGTTGTGGTTGATTATTCTAACATAATCTTAGGGGTCCCACCTGTCTCTAGCAGGTCAGTAAACCTTGTTTCTTTTGATTTTGAGTTCTGGTCCACATATTCTCACTCTTCAACCAGAACCTTCTAATGTGATCCTTTTCAGAACAGTCGGTAGCGATACTCAGGGACACCAGCTAGTTCTTCTCATCTCAGGATATGGAAACTGATGTTTCATGGTCCATGAATCTTCTGGACTACTTGCTTTCTGTGTCTTCTCATTCTCATCACTTCTCTTCTCCGACGGAGAGAGACCAGCAGTAGTACCTTAGATGGCTGTTCATGAGCAACCTTAGTTGCTACTCACCAAAGTAGGATGGAGAACACTATCTATGTGAACTATGTTATGCCAAATGACAATGGCATCTTTCAACGATCCATGGCTTCTAAAGTTTTAGAAAACAAAGATGAAACATCACATGTTCTTATTAAAACTGAGGAAGGACAGGGTTAGGAAGCAATGAATGAATGAAATAATTGCTAAATTAGCATGAGAATTTTACACTGCTTTAGCTTTGTATTACATGTCAAGAAAACTTTGTTAAGAGAAAATATTTTACATTGTAGTTTTAAGAATTTGGTAAATATTGCTATTTTTATTATAATGACTGACTAGCAGATGACAACATCATGGTCTAAAACAGAGGTCATCAAACTCACTTAAAAGGCTAGACAGTAACTATTTTAGGTTTTGCAGGCTACACATACATCTTGTGCCAAAACTCTGCCCTCGAACTGTAAACGCATGAGCGAGCATGCACACACGAATGGGTGTTGGTATTGTTCCAGTAGGGCCTTATTGGCAGTAACAGGTGGGCTTCCAGGGTTTTCCACTTGCTAATCCAGCCTTTAAATAATGCTTCTAAAATTCTGAAATGCCTATAGATAAAAGTTGATCTGAGAAATGAGAAAATTAGCCATTTTCTTGTTTAGGGTTGGCATGGGTTAATGATTAATTAGGCTATATTTTAAAAAATGGCTTGCATTTTACAGCGATTCAAAATTATTGTTATTTTCACGCAACTCATTTCATTTCTTAATTACTCATTTGTCACCTCACATCAGTAGGTCTGGTGGTTGTGTCTGCCAGTCTGTCATACTGTGGTGGCTTGATTGTTACTGTGATGCTGGAAGCTCTATCACTGATATTTCAAACAGAAGCATTTTTTTCTGTTTCAGTGGAGCTTCTCGACTATGACAGACATGGAAGAGGAGATGGTGATCCATTTCTTAAAAAAAAAAAAAAAAAAGCCAGTCAAGACCTATGGAGAGCAGCAGAATGCTGTCTGATCCAGTGCCAGGAAATGATCCCCTCAGGTTGGCAGGCACTCAACACACAGCTAAGAAAGAGTTGCCGCCTCAGAGCAGCATCCATCTTAATGATCCAGATAGAGTAAAGCTTTCAAGCCCTTCATTTGCTGATGCGGCACCATGTAAAATGAGAAGAAACTGCTGAAAATATCCCGTCGCAATGTGAATGTGGCATGTTTACAGCATAAATCGAGAAAAACTGGAAGTTGTAAGAAAATGGAATAAAAGGGTTTCAGATTAATATCCCAGGCAATAGTGGCCTAAAATGGACTAGTA